ACTTAATTAGTGTAATTTACGCAGTATCCATCTTGCTAAAAAAAATTATTTTCTAAAAGTAAGTAGATATATTTTATTTCTATATTTGTATATTCTTTTATTTCTTATTTTATGTGTATGTGTTACATATTTTTTTACTTTTTAAATTAATAATTTGCTTTTTAAAATTCTAATAAATATAATTTTTAATTTATATTCTCAACAGTATTATTAAAAATTTCTTTTTTCTTCACTAAAATTCTAAAACTAAAGCAAATAAAACTAAAATTAAAGAAATGATAAATTAAGAAAATGATAAAAAATAATTTCACATTATTATAGAAATATAATAATCGGAAAGAGGTATGTTATAAGAGAAAAAGCAAAAGATGAAAATATTAAAATTAATTTTATAATTAAAAAATTGTAGTTAATTATTAGTAAATATTATTTTTAAGGATAAAAATTATCTTGTTTTCTTGATATCTAATTTTTTATGCATTTTGCATCATCAAATACATAATCACGAGACCGAAAGTAATGCACTTGCATAATGTACTATGATTATCTAACCTCTAATAAGACCCGGATGTCAATATTAGCGTTAAGTATCGTTAATTACATCAACCAAAACGATAATTTAAGCCTATCAGATGTGCCACCTCATGAAATTAAAGATTCTCCTTCTCTCTTACTTCCGTATATAAAAATAAACGAATGAATTTTGCGTGCGCTTTGCAAGTCAGATCTAGTGGCGATTCATCTATATCGTGTTGAAAAAGAGATTAAATGAATAAACAAAATCAAAGGCAACAAATAAGAATGAAAGGCACTAGTACGATTTTCTTCATTTCATTCGTGCTCATGGCGAATCTTCAAAATAGCGAAGGTGTAAGTTTCTTAAAACGGATAAATTTGTTGTATATTCACGTACCATATTATCATTGTATATCAATTTAATGATAGTGTACAATGCGCCTTTGCATATTATAATGAAATTATAACAAAATTATAACAAAATTGATATACAATGATGCATTTCCATCCATATAATACAACGATATGTATGATACGCGGACATACAACAATAATAATTTAGATTCACAAATATGCGTACATCAATAAGCTGTATAACTAAGAAAAATTATAAAAATTGTTTATATTTAATAATATTATATTTAATATTATAAATTATTATAGTATTTAATATTATAATTTATAATTTAATATTAATATTTATAATTTAATATT